ACTGGAGCGTGCCACTAAGAGGTGGGGCCTTATCATCAGCCCCACCAAAACTAAGCACCTGCCTGGGTATTTTGTACCATCGGACACTCCACCCCCACAACTCCCAATCGGTGATGGGGCAGTTGTGAAGAGAGTGGAGAGTTTCCCATACCTAGGCAGTGTGCTTATGACTGGCTCCAGTTTAACAGCAGAGGTCTCACTCCGAATCAGTCGAGCGGCAATATCTTTTCATCGGTTGCGTAACGCTGTGTGGAAGTTACCTGGTCTGTCGCTCCGCACTAAGCTTCAGGTCTTCTCGGCCACGGTCATTCCCTCCCTTCTCTACGCTTGCGAAACGTGGACCCCCCTAATGGAACATCTTCGCCGGTTAGACACATTTAGGCTGGCCTGCCTACGATCCATCCTGGGTTTAACCAGACTGGATTGTGTGAGGAGCTCAAAAATCATTGAAAGATCTGGGCAAGGTCCCATCGGTGAGCTCCTCCAGCAGGGAAGGCTGCGATGGCTGGGTCATGTAGCCCGCATGCCCAGCCACCACATGCCGAAACAGCTTTTATTCGGCCGGATTGAGGGGGCTAAGCGGGCGCGGCACGGGCTAGAGAAGAGATGGAGTGATGTGGTACAGGAGGACGTGGAGCTGAGTGGACTTGCCGATGACTGGTACCAGCGGTGTCAAGATCGACCTCTGTGGAGGAGGCTCGTGAAGGACGTTACTGGGCAGTTGGAGGCAGTCGCCCTCCAACAACAACGGAGGGCGGAGAAGCGACGCTCAGAACAACGAGCGGAGCGCCGGGTGGCTAAAGCACAGCAGGTTGGTACAGTAGGGGGCACAGGTGGTGCATCGGCCACTCATCTCAGTCAGTCGACCCATGGCACCTGGGTCTGCCCCGTGACCTCCTGCCAGCGGGCGTTCGACACTTCACGTGGCCTCAGGGTGCACATAGCCTGGCACAAGCGTCGTGGTGACGTCACCGCCATTTAGTGGCGAATGGCGGTTGTTGTTGTTGTGTGGTGTGGAGTGTGTGAGTGTGTGGTGTGGAGTGTGTGGTGTGGAGTGTGTGAGTGTGTGGTGTGTGGTGTGGAGTGTGTGGTGTGGAGTGTATGGTGTGGCGTGTGTGGTGTGTGAGTGTGTGGTGTGTGAGTGAGTGGTGTGTGAGTGTGTGAGTGTGTGGTATGGAGTGTGTGGTGTGTGAGTGTGTGGAGTGTGTGAGTGTGTGGTGTGTGAGTGTGTGAGTGTGTGATGTGGAGTGTGTGGAGTGTGTGAGTGTGGTGTATGGTGTGTGAGTGTGTGAGTGTGTGGTGTGTGAGTGTGTGGTGTGGAGTGTGTGGTGTGTGAGTGTGGAGTGTGTGGTGTGGAGTGTGTGAGTGTGTGGTGTGGAGTGTGTGTTGTGGAGTGTGTGTTGTGGAGTGCGTGAGTGTGTGGTGTGTGAGTGTGGAGTGTGTGAGTGTGTGGTGTGGAGTGTGTGGTGTGTGAGTGTGTGGTGTGGAGTGTGGAGTGTGTGGTGTGTGAGTGTGTGGTGTGTGAGTGTGTAGTGTGGAGTGTGTGGTGTGTAAGTGTGTGGTGTGGAGTGTGTGAGTGTGTGGTGTGGAGTGTGTGGTGTGTGAGTGTGTGGTGTGGAGTGTGTGGTGTGGAGTGTGTGAGTGTGTGGTGTGTGAGTGTGTGGTGTGGAGTGAGTGGTGTGGAGTGTGTGGTGTTTGAGTGTGTGGAGTGTGTGAGAGTGGTGAATTGTGTGTGAGTGTGTGAGTGTGTGGTGTGTGGTGTGTGAGTGTGGAGTATGTGGTGTGGAGTGTGTGAGTGTGTGGAGTGTGTGGTGTGGAGTGTGTGGTGTGTGAGTGTGTGGTGTGGAGTGTGTGAGTGTGTGGTGTGGAGTGTATGGTATGTGAGTGTGTGGTGTGTGGTGTGTGAGTGTGTGAATGTGTGGTGTGGAGTGTGTGAGTGTGTGGTGTGGAGTGTGTGCTGTGGAGTGTGTGAGTGTGTGAGTGTGTGGTGTGTGAGTGTGTGGTGTGGAGTGTGTGGTGTGGAGTGTGTGAGTGTGTGGTGTGAAGTGTGTGGTATGTGAGTGTGTGGTGTGGAGTGTGTGGTGTGTGAGTGTGTGGTGTGTGAGTGTGTGGTGTGGAGTGTGTGGTGTGTGAGTGTGTGGTGTGGAGTGTGTGAGTGTGTGGTGTGTGAGTGTGGGGTCTGGAGTGTGTGGTGTGTGAGTGTGTGGTGTGTGAGTGTGTGGTGTGGAGTGTGTGGTGTGGAGTGTGTGAGTGTGTGGTGTGGAGTGTATGGTATGTGAGTGTGTGGTGTGTGGTGTGGAGTGTGTGAGTGTGTGGTGTGGAGTGTGTGTTGTGGAGTGTGTGTTGTGGAGTGCGTGAGTGTGTGGTGTGTGAGTGTGGAGTGTGTGAGTGTGTGGTGTGGAGTGTGTGGTGTGTGAGTGTGTGGTGTGGAGTGTGGAGTGTGTGGTGTGTGAGTGTGTGGTGTGTGAGTGTGTAGTGTGGAGTGTGTGGTGTGTAAGTGTGTGGTGTGGAGTGTGTGAGTGTGTGGTGTGGAGTGTGTGGTGTGTGAGTGTGTGGTGTGGAGTGTGTGGTGTGGAGTGTGTGAGTGTGTGGTGTGTGAGTGTGTGGTGTGGAGTGAGTGGTGTGGAGTGTGTGGTGTTTGAGTGTGGAGTATGTGGTGTGGAGTGTGTGAGTGTGTGGTGTGGAGTGTGTGGTGTGTGAGTGTGGAGTATGTGGTGTGGAGTGTGTGAGTGTGTGGTGTGGAGTGTGTGGTGTGTGAGTGTGTGGTGTGGAGTGTGTGAGTGTGTGGTGTGGAGTGTATGGTATGTGAGTGTGTGGTGTGTGGTGTGTGAGTGTGTGAGTGTGTGGTGTGGAGTGTGTGAGTGTGTGGTGTGGAGTGTGTGCTGTGGAGTGTGTGAGTGTGTGAGTGTGTGGTGTGTGAGTGTGTGGTGTGGAGTGTGTGGTGTGGAGTGTGTGAGTGTGTGGTGTGGAGTGTGTGGTATGTGAGTGTGTGGTGTGGAGTGTGTGGTGTGTGAGTGTGTGGTGTGTGAGTGTGTGGTGTGTGAGTGTGTGGTGTGGAGTGTGTGAGTGTGTGGTGTGTGAGTGTGGGGTCTGGAGTGTGTGGTGTGTGAGTGTGTGGTGTGTGAGTGTGTGGTGTGGAGTGTGTGGTGTGTGAGTGTGTGTTGTGGAGTGTGTGAGTGTGTGGTGTGGAGTGTGTGGTGTGTGAGTGTGTGTTGTGGAGTGTGTGAGTGTGTGTTGTGGAGTGTGTGAGTGTGTGCTGTGGAGTGTGTGAGTGTGTGAGGAGCGGTAATGTAGCGGTTAGTGCGCTACGCTACGAACCTGGCGACCCCAGTGCGATTCCCGCTCACGACCAACATCAGTTACGATTATCTGAAACTGTTCTGGGCCTCCCCTAGATCGACTCAGCCTCAAACGAGTATCTGGTGCGGTGCGTAAAAACATCGCCACTGGGGAGACAAAGGCGGCCGGGCGTGGCGCTGGTCACCCACCCCCTTGCGTGCCGTGCCGTGCCGACCTTCATAGGTGCTCGCTAACAGCCACTTGCACCAACAGTCTGTTCCAGGCTATACGGGGGATCTTTGTCTTTGTTTTTTTTTGTGCGTGTGTGATGCACGTGAGTGACTGTGGGCAAGCAGCGATTGCTCGCGATTTATGACAGCATCAGTCGCGGGGTAAACACAAATGAATCGGGGACCTCCTCCTCCTCCTCCACCGTCGGAAGAGAAACGTTGCCCCCGCTTGAGCCAAAGGAGGAGGGCTCGACGCGCAACCTCGCGCCGTCGCCGGCACAAACATCGACCAACAGCGGAGCCTATTAAACGGGATCTGTGCAGCTTAACACGTAGTAGGATTTCGAGACCAGTATTATTGATAATAATAATATTTTTTTTTTGGGTTGGATCGCGGTTTTTTTTTTATAAATGTGTCGCAAACCCTCCGACACTCGACACGGTCAATCAATAAACAAAAAAAATGTGTCACGTTGACACTACTTTAGCACACCGGTGTGTTGAAGAGTGAATCCACGGCATTTAAATTTTTTTGAGTATTACGTTTCGCTAGAAATTACATCCGGCATATCCTTTGGGTCTTTCGGTAAAGTCACGTAGAAAGGTTCAAAGAAAAATAGCAAAAAGCTACGACGTTTCGATCGCAACGCAAGCGTTCGTCTTCCTGATGGCGTTCGTCTTTCTGATGACGAACGTTTGTGTTGCGATCGAAACGTCGTGGTTTTTTGTTATTTTCTTTGAACCTATCTCCGTGACTCTACCGAAAGACCCAAAGAATCTGAATTCTTGCAGTCACAAAAACTTTAAGTCAAGATACATCAAGCATCTTCGGGCGATTTGCCAGAATGAATGCGACACATTGATAAAATAACGCGATCTAACCCAAAAATCTTGATTATGAATGGGATCTGTATCTGTTGCCTCCTGCTGCTGCTGCTACATGCGCGTCTGGATGTCTCCCCCCCCCCCACCCCCGGCTAAGCGCAACAGGGAATTGAATTGAACACTCGCCCACCACCACCACAAACAACAACAACAAACACCACCACCAGCAGCAGCGGCAGCACGAGTTTCTTCATTCAGGCGCCTTTGCATTATTCAAAACACACGATGTGTGTACTCTGTATTAGAGGTTAAATATGAAACGCTATATACATTTTACACGTTTTACAGGCGCGTAACGTGCCCGTAACGCCGGCTCTCGCTCCTGATGCCCTCTCTCGACGTGGCTAGCAGCAGAACCTCGACATTGGCACGCAGCTCCTGAACCATATTGCTGCCAGACACAGGAATATAACAGACTGTAAAGATGGTACAATACGTAATATAGACATAATGTATACACGTAACGTTTACAGATGGTGGTGGTGGTGATGATGATGATATTATACATTGCATTTATGCGTTACATTTCAACACGGTACTACCATATACCTTGCATTTATTGTAATGATGACAGCGTTGTGAACGTTACAGATGTAATGTATTTACCTCTTTCTTAACGCCCTTCAGTAGCCTCTGGCGCAGCTCGGACACTGTTTCTGGCGGCTCCATGGCACGGAGAGGTGATGGTGGTGGTGGTGCAGTTGCTGATGGAGGCGATGATGAAGATGATGATGACGGTGCTTATGTAAGTGCTGCTGGTGGTGCCGATGATGATGATGGTACTGGTAGAGGTGCTGATGATGATGGTGGTGCTGGTAGAGGTACTGCTGGTGGTGCTGATGATGATGCTGGTGGAGGTGCTGCTGGTGGTGCTGATGATGGTGGTGCTGGTGGAGGTGCTGCTGGTGGTGCTGATGATGATGATGCTACTGGTGGTGCTGATGATGATGCTGGTGCTGGTGGAGGTGCTGCTGGTGGTGCTGATGATGGTGCTGGTGGAGGTGCTGATGATGATAGTGCTGGTGGAGGTGCTGCTGGTGGTGCTGATGATGATGATGCTACTGGTGGTTCTGATGATGGTGCTGGTGGAGGTGCTGCTGGTGGTGCTGATGATGGTGCTGGTGGAGGTGCTGATGATGATGGTTCTGGTAGAGGTGCTACTGGTGGTGCTGATGATGATGATGCTACTGGTGGGTTCTGATGATGGTGCTGGTGGAGGTGCTACTGGTGGTGCTGATGATGGCGATGAACGTCGAGACGATGATGCTGGTGGTGATGATGTAGACCGTTGCGGTGATGATGATGATAATGCTGAAAGAGGTGGTGATGCAAGTGATGGAGACACTGAAGCTGCTGATGATAATGTTTAGGATGATGATCGTGGTGGTGGTGGTGGTGCCGAGTTGCTGCTGTTTCTTCGCACGCGATGTCTTTCCCCGAGAAGACCTCCCGGCACAGGCGCTGGTGCCGCTCGTGTTGTTACTGCTTCTGGCGACGTGATGACGGCAGGCGCTCGCAAATTGCAACTCTCTACGCATACACACGCCACGCTGTGTGCGCGCGCGTGTGGAGTGCGTCTGTATGCACGACTTTAATCGAATACCCTTCCTGTAACAGCCTCCCTCGCTGTACGTTTGTTATGTTTGCGTGTGTCTGTCGTGTGCAGCTCTCTTTGTCTGACTCTGGCTCCCTCTCTCTCTCTGGCTCTCTCTCTCTGGCTCTCTCTCTGTCTGGCTCTCTCTCTCTCAGGCTCCCTCTCTCTGACGCTCTCTCTCTCTCTCTCGCGCGCGTGGACTGATGTAGGAGCTCTTGGCGGTGACGTCGCTAGTGCGTGCGCGGTGGAGGCTACGTGCGCGGTTTGGCTGAGCAGCTGACAAGAGCTCGTGTAACGCCCGTGTCTTCTCTCTCGCTCTCTCTCTCTGTGTAACACTCACCACACACGCGTGCGTGAGTGTGCACAACCTCCAGGAGGAGGGATGCATGGGAGAGACTATTCTGCAGAGGGGAGGGGGGGGGAAGGGGTTTCCAGACCCGAAGCAAGCACCACCTCTCGCCCTCGATTGTCACCCGCACATGCATGGCAGAGGTGGCTCGTTTCCACCGGCGGATACGAAGCGTAGGGGTTAGTGCGCGGTGTAGCGGTCAGCGCTGCGCTGCGAACCCGGCGAACCGAGTTCGATTCCCGCTCAGGGCCAACGTCGGTGACGAATAATCTGAACCGGGTACTGCGCCTCCCGTGGGTCGACTCAGCCTCAAATTAGTACCTGGTGCGGTGTGTAGACATCGCCGCGGCCGAGTCTCCGATGGCACAGGTGTAAAAGAAAGAGAGACAAAGGCGACCGGGCGTGGTGTTGGCCACCTCGCGTGAAGTTGCCGACCTTCATAGGTGCTTCTTCTTTGGTTCTTTCGGTAAAGTCACGTAGAATGAGAATAAAATAATAAATTGATAAAATAAAATAACACAATAATATTCTCACGACGTTTCGGCCACAACACAAGCGGCCTTCATCAGGTGAAGGGGGCGAGACTGTCTGGTAGGACAGCGCTGGAGTGAGAGAGCCACGTTCAGATCACGGCTTTTAAGCTGTGTGAGAGGAACAAAGAGCCTTGACACAGGAATTAGCATAAAATTTAGCATTGAAATGGCTGAATGATTAGCTTGTGACTGGTCACAGAAATAGCTATGTTAAAAGTTAAAGCATACACATCCGCAGAGGCACCCATTGTTAAAAGGAATTAGCATAGAATTTAGCATTGAAATAGCTAAGTTAAGGCATACACATCCGCAGAGGCACCCCTTGACAATGGGATTAGCATAGAATTTAGCATTGAAATGGCTGAGTGATTCGCTTGTAACTGCTACAGAAATAGCTACGTTGAAGTCAGAGCATACACATTCACCGAGGCACTTAGTACAAATCAAACAGGAGAATTTAGCATTGAAATAACTAGGCGAATTTAGCATTGAAATAACTGGGTGATTTGCTAGTGACTGGTCACAGAAATGACTACACATCTGAGCTATTCACAGTACTATATAGTGAACCAATAAAAACTAAAATATAAATTACCTTCATGTTATCAATAAACTCTATATTCTCCAATCAGCTAAGCTACCAACCATAAGTCGTTATATATCACAATGCTATATGGCGAAAAAATGGGTGGATTCTTACCCTCAAATTTCCGTACCACGGATAGCTATGGGCCCCGTTCAGACGGACGAGTTCGTCCATGGTCGGAACAGAGGAGGGGGAGAGAGACAGCTGCGAGGCCCTAGTATGCTCCATGTTGTAAACCATACCATTAACCGTGGTGTGAGAGGTATTAAGAGGCAATGCTGGCGAAAGAGCTGCGGTCTGAAGGACATCGTAAAATTACAATTAATTAAGAACAGAAATGATTTAACACATCTTTCCAGTGGTTACTAAGCCTGAATCCATCTTCTCGGTTGAAATTGTCTCTGTGCTTGTATATGTGAATGGCCTCATGAACGAATCTCTCATGGTAGCCGGTTGGTTTGCAAAGAACCTCCGTCTTGGAGAAGTCAATGTCATGTGAGCCCACTGAATTGTAACAGTGATCTGCCACGGCAGAGGAGTTCGTCTTACCGTGTTTCAAGTCTGCTTTATGTTCGCGGATGCGGTCCGAGATATGTCTTTTGGTTTCTCCAATGTAGCTACTACCACAGAGGCACTTTAGTTTGTAAACGCCTGGGTACTGTATGTCTGGAAGAGCATCTTTTACAGATGGAACTAAATCACGGATTTTGTGTACTGTGTTGAATCGGACCTGGATCTTGTGTTTATTCAGGATTTTGGAGATCTTTTTAGTGACCCCTGCAATGTAGGGTAAGGTGATGGTTTTGAGTGGCTCCACAAGAGGATCCTTCTTCATGACTGGAGTGATGGCTTTGCGGATTGTGTAGTCGGAGTAGCCATTAGCCCTGAGAGCCTGGTGTACGTGCTTGAGTTCACTGGTAATGTGTTCCTGGTCGGAAATGCATTGGGCTCTATGGTATAGAGTCTTGATGAGGCAGTTCTTCTGGGATGGATGGTGGTGGGAATCCGGTTTCAAGTAAGCATCTGTATGGGTAGCTTTCCTGTAGACAGAGTGGCTCATTGAACCATCATGTCTCCTTTTAATTAAGACATCCAGAAAGGGTAGTTTGCCATCTTTTTCGACCTCCATGGTAAATCTGATGGCTGGGTGTATGGAATTGATGTGGTCGCGGAATTGGTCTAGAGCAGGCTGGCCATGTGGCCAGATGACAAAGGTGTCATCAACGTACCTCTTCCATAAGGTCGGGCGTAGAGTGGCAGTCTGGATGGCGTCAGTTTCAAATTTTTTCATGAATACGTTGGCTACAACCGGAGATAGGGGGGAGCCCATTGGGGTGCCCTCAGTTTGTTTGTAGAAAGTTCCATTCCAGGTGAAGTATGTGTTGGTTAAGCAATGTCTCACCAGGGGGGGTACATCAGTATGCAGTCCTTGATGAACCAGGTCTTCAATGATAGCGATGGTGTCAGGTACCGGGACTTTGGTGAACAAGGACACCACATCAAAACTGACAAGCAGGTCGTTTGGGGACAGGGAAATGTCTTTGATTGTCGATACCAGGTGAGTAGAATTTAGTACCGCAGAGGTGGTTTTTCCAGTGAAAGGTCGCAGTATATCAGCCAGAAAACGTGCCAGTTTGTAGGTGGGGGAGCTGATAGTAGAGACAATGGGACGAAGGGGTGTATCTTCTTTGTGTATCTTTGGAAGGCCATATAATCTTGGTGGTCTGGCAGCAGAGGGTTTCAACGAGAACTGTTTGATCTCATCAATTAATGCTGTTGAATCAGAGAGCCACTCTGTCTACAGGAAAGCTACCCATACAGATGCTTACTTGAAACCGGATTCCCACCACCATCCATCCCAGAAGAACTGCCTCATCAAGACTCTATACCATAGAGCCCAATGCATTTCCGACCAGGAACACATTACCAGTGAACTCAAGCACGTACACCAGGCTCTCAGGGCTAATGGCTACTCCGACTACACAATCCGCAAAGCCATCACTCCAGTCATGAAGAAGGATCCTCTTGTGGAGCCACTCAAAACCATCACCTTACCCTACATTGCAGGGGTCACTAAAAAGATCTCCAAAATCCTGAATAAACACAAGATCCAGGTCCGATTCAACACAGTACACAAAATCCGTGATTTAGTTCCATCTGTAAAAGATGCTCTTCCAGACATACAGTACCCGGGCGTTTACAAACTAAAGTGCCTCTGTGGTAGTAGCTACATTGGAGAAACCAAAAGACATATCTCGGACCGCATCCGCGAACATAAAGCAGACTTGAAACACGGTAAGACGAACTCCTCTGCCGTGGCAGATCACTGTTACAATTCAGTGGGCTCACATGACATTGACTTCTCCAAGACGGAGGTTCTTTGCAAACCAACTGGCTACCATGAGAGATTCGTTCATGAGGCCATTCACATATACAAGCACAGAGACAATTTCAACCGAGAAGATGGATTCAGGCTTAGTAACCACTGGAAAGATGTGTTAAATCATTTCTGTTCTTAATTAATTGTAATTTTACGATGTCCTTCAGACCGCAGCTCTTTCGCCAGCATTGCCTCTTAATACCTCTCACACCACGGTTAATGGTATGGTTTACAACATGGAGCATACTAGGGCCTCGCAGCTGTCTCTCTCCCCCTCCTCTGTTCCGACCATGGACGAACTCGTCCGTCTGAACGGGGCCCA